TCAGCTGTTAGCCTACATTATAGATGTTTTTATTCCTCAGTTGTGGGCATAATAGCATATTGTCATAAGAGGAATAATAGGCTTTATTGCACTAAACAGCATTCTGGTAAGGAGGAATAGAAAGCGAGCTATTTATCCTCATTACTATCTATAAATCATTCATTTCATGTAGCTCAATTTTTGTGCAGACAGTAATTCAGGGATAGAGGAGCTCTCTCTAGGGAAATTTAACAGGTTCTGCAGAGCATGCATGTGCACTCTACAATACAGTTATAAGCTATAAATATCCCTCGTGATTCAGTAGAGTAGTCCTGATGACCTAAAGCACACAAACAAACACTTGCGGTAGAATGCTCGCACTGCAAACTCTAATTTTGTCCACTGACAACAACAAAAAACAACAGATTTTCAACATGTTTTGCTAAAATTTGCAATTACTCTTCATCTTTTAATTGATTTCCTCCATTCTTACTTGGCTGTGATTACACACTTTCCCCTTACTTGTGGAAATGTGCTCGTGTGTCTGACAGATCTCTTGACTTGGCATTTATTCTTGTTGCTTAGAAACCAACAAAGACATGTCTCCGTCCTTGTTGAAGGACAAAAATATGGCAGAGCAGTGTTTTCCATGAACCTTCTTCAGTATCTGTTTATGATATTCAGCATATTAAACTGAAAATATTACATTTGGTGTCATATTAGACTAAGGCTAAATGTTACTTATTGTAAGAAGAACTACTCACAATCATTTTAATGTTATCTGTGGCTGTGAAGACGATATTGTGAGCTTTAGAAAAAACTTTGATCATATAGCTTTGAAGGCATCGAGGTGCTTTTAAATGGTGCTTCAGAGATCAGAGTGAACATTTAAGTTTCAATCATATTAGCGAATAAAAGTGAGGCTCGCTCAGTCTCACTTGTCACAAAATTTACATTTTATTGACGATAAACACTAAACTTCGTCCATCCATTCGCTTCCACTTATCCTTTTCAGGGTCGTGGGGGTCGCTGGAGCCTATCCCAGCTGTCACAGGGCAAGAGGCGGGGTACACCGTGGACAGGTCGCCAGTCTGTCGCAGGGCTAACACAGAGACAGACAACCATTCGCACTCACATTCATACCTATGGGCAATTTCGATTAATCGATTAACCTATCCCCACTAAAAAACTTCAGTATTCATTAAAATATCAATTATATAGAGCAAAAACTACTAAAACTAAATTCCTAGATTACAGAGTATTAATTACAGACAGTTTGCAAGATAATGTAAAGCTTATTTACTGAACAGAAACAACAACAGGGAAATTTTCTTCGCCATATTTATTTGAAATAAAATGCGGTATTTCACTTTTTCTTTTCTTTCCTTCTCTGAGTCGCGTACAGCAGTCAAACGCTGTGTGTGTCAAAAGGAGCGAGTGAGTCAGGACTGCATCTTGCATACTTGCCTCATTCACTTACTGCCAGCTAACGTGTGTTTGTGTCTCGTGGTGACTGAAGGTTGAGACACTGCATGCTGCTTCTTATTTATGTCATATTTGGGGCATTTTTGTGCTTTGGGGATTATTATTTATTCCTTCTGGGAGTACTGTTGTGGAGGGATTTTTTTATTGAATGAATTATTCGGCATGCTCTCAAACACTTTGGATAAAAAAGTAGAGAAACTAAAAATAAATGAAATGTCCCATGCATCAGCTGCGATGTGCTGTTTTGACGATGCACATGTTGAACAGTCCTCTTTGTCTTTTCTCTCCCTTTGTCTGGCTACAGTATCAATCCCGTGGTGAATGATTGCCCTCTAACACACACACACACACACGCTGACAGCTGCATGGTAGTGGATGTGCTGCAAGTCTCTCTCCATGGTACTGAAATCCCTGATGTGACTGCCCAGGCCACCCATCTGGCTGAGACGCAGCATTTGGTGTATATATCTGTGTGTTTATGTTATTCATAATAATGTTGCTTCTTAGCTAATAACCATATTTCTGTTCACCCATAACTGACAGAAACATTAAGGATGCCGCACTCGTGCTTAAAATTATCTAATTAAAAATACATATTAATTAGAATAACTGACATAAATAACTCATACAACTCGGTTATTGGTTGTTCCTCTCGACTGTGTTTCTGCACGTTTCGAGCATGTTCATTTACCTCCAAGGGTTGCTCTTTGACTCTGAAAATGTAATCGAGTGTATATCCTGCATTAGCTTTACGCTACATTACCATCTATAATTAAACAGCTCCTGTACGACAGATTAGTCCCCCTGTTAATGATGAAAGTTTTCATAAGATTAATTGCTGCTGCAGAAATAGCTCCATCCTCTGACCTCCTGGGTGTAAAAATAGATCCTTGCTGTATGCATATACACACAAATACAACATCACACACCCAGAGCACCTCCCCTGACTTCTCATTAGGGACTCCAGCAGACAGGGAAGGATTTTCGGGTTACACAAACTCTCACACTGCTGCAGTGGTGGGTTTGTTCCCTTTGCCTGCTCCTCCTCCTGTCGCCCCAGGGATGAATATCTATAGAACCCATTGTCTGAGACACATACGAGTGTGGAGCCTCAACACTTCTTGCAGTCTGTGATTTTCAGTATAAAGATCCAAAATGGCTGCCCATGAGTGACTCCATATTAATGTGATCCTGAGGAAACGATATTAAACTTTAATCTTCTCCACTTGATTGCCAATTAGGACACAAATACTGGGGCGTCACTTTATACATACAGCTCATGTAATTATCATGAGATTTAAAACATGTCGAAAGATTGAAACAGGTCTTTTTTTTGGTGTTAAAATGATCCCTGTAGCAGAGAATAACATTTGGCCGGGAGTCTTTGATCCAATTCTGCACGATGCACTTTCAAGCAATTAAAAGGAGCTTCTCAGGAAGATTGTAATGTGATGCAGGGAGATGCATTTTCCTGGAGGGAAAGCCTCAGAGGACCAGAACCTCTTTTCTTAAAATCTTTAACTGAAATCTCCTACTAATTTCTTTGGAACTAAATGCTGTGATAAAGGGTTTTGTCCGGGCCAGATTTTTACTTTCTGTCCTGCAGAGCCCAGCTGTTGCCGTGAGGCCTGCTCCGAGATTGCCGGGCTCTCATCCGAGCAGAGAATGCAAGCTCATTCAGTCACACTGTGCCTAGAATTAATCGTCTGTTTTGTTCCAGAGGCCCTTCCTCTTAATCATTCACTACAATCACACTGTGGCTCTCTTGAGACCGAGAGGGGGCACCAGGGTGCGTGCACAAAGGAGTATGAAAAGAGAATGATGAAATACACAGAAAGTGGTGTGTACAGAAGGAAAATAATAAAGAAATATAATACAACCTTTCTTTAATAGATACATGTTGCAGAGTGTTTTTTAGTTTACGGGGCATTTTGCCAGACCGATTATTGCTGGCATTTCTTCATATGCTAACTGCTACACTTGTAATTCAAAGGCATAATAAAGAGGTCTATTGAATTTGCATTAACATGCTCTCTGAGGAGAGCGTGAATGAAAAAGCTTCTATTTAACAGACTTACAGCATGTAGATTAAAAGTGGGTTACACTGACAGATTGGAAAATGTGCCTGTTGGCCATAACTGCAACTGAACTGAATTTAACCTTTAATTCCACTTTATTGCTTACTTGATAATAAGTATCCATAAAGAGAGAAACATGTGGTTCATAATTTTTTTTTTTTTTTTACATGTAAAAGCACAAATTAATTTCACCTCAACACAGCAGGAGACTGCCCGCTTAGCTCGTTAGCCACAAATGAAAAGAAAAGACAGCTGCACTTTAGGCTCATGTCTTTTCAAAGTAATGGATGCTTGTGCCTAATAAATGATTCATGACAAACAGAGAAAATATTATGATGATGAGATGGGATTGGGAAGCTTACATTATTAAAACATGTAGTTCAAAATAAATGGCTTCCTATTTAAATTGCATGGTCAGTTTGAAGAGTCAGTAACCATACAATACAGTATCGTCTACAGCAGCGGTCCCCGGGCCGCGGACCGGTCTGTGAGTCGTTTGTTACCGGGCAGCGAGAGTTGAGGCTCGGGTGTGAAATTTATGGTTTTCAGGGTTTTTATAGTTTATTTTTGTAATTTTTTTTATTGTTTTTATCGTTAACCCTGGGTTTTTTCCCGTGTGTTATGACTAAAGCTTCCTTTTTTTTGGTGCCGGTACTGGTTTTATTTTGTTGTATTTATCCGCGACACCTTAAAGGTCAGCCCGTGAAAATATTGTCAGGCATAAACCGGTCCGTGGCGCAAAAAAGGTTGGGGACCGCTGGTCTACAGCATCCTGTGGCGATTGTAAACCATAAAATATTTTTCAGATGATCCATTTTCTCTCACAGAGGTTTCTGCAGGCGCCAAAGTCATTTCTCCTGATGGAAAGGGGCAAAAGGGAAGCATGGTTTATTGAATCACTAAAACAGTTACTGATGTTCCAGTCATGAAACTCACACATGCATTCAGGAAACCTTGACAGAGAAATAGCGCTGAACTGGAAACACTGGTCTTCCCCTAACAGTGAATGTGTGTTTGCTAGTTTACCACTTTGACCCAGCAGGCCCGCTGTGGTTGCCATGTTTTTTCTGTTGATACCTGCTTTGATTTTATCATGACACGCCAGCTCTCAGTGTCGTGAAAACCTGTGTCAGGAAAATGGGAACACTGTGTCTATTGATCTGAGTGAAACATCACCCACATCGACAGACAGCAGGTATTCTTAAGGGCCAGCCCCTGCAAGTGTCCCATCAGTGCTGCCAGTGGTCAAAAGTACAGCAGCACTCGGCCTAGCACACACAGCTGGGAGAGATGTGTAAGATTTCCGAGGCAGTGTGTGCTAATCCCTTCCATCGCTTGGATTATGATGCTGATGCTATTTGACAGGATTTGGATCAGTGTGATTTTAATTTTGACTTTACAGAAATACCGGTTTCCTTTTCTTCTTACCCTACCTCCCTCCCTTTTTTATCTCTTCAGGCATTTGGCCAGGCTTACACCAACCAACGGAAGGTGGCAGAGGATGGGGAGACCAATGAGGAGACACTGCTGCAGGAGTCCGCCTCCAAGGAGGCCTACTATATGGGCCGACTGTTGGAGCTGCAGTCGGAGGTGACGCTTAGCCGCTCTGTGGCGTCCAACGCCCAGTCAGAGAATGAGCGGCTCAACGCACTTGTACAGGAGCTACGAGAGGTGAGTTTGTCAACACGAGGAAAGCATGCAGACGATTTATTACTTCCTAAATAAAGAAAAACAGGAAATTGAATCTACTGTGTGTGTAAGAAAACTGCATTTCACTTTTTTATATATTTCTGCTTATGTCAGTAGTATTTTGTTACCAACACCTAAAATTCTCTCTATGAGATGTGCACATTAGTTGTTTTGAAACTTGAATGCATTTGGCTTGCAGCTGGCTCTTGACTGAGCGAGATACAGTAAGAGTTAACTGCATGTAAAGCCATCTTGTAGTTTTTATGATCAATTCTTGAGTCCAAACGGATTGTTTTCCACAGTTTGACTAGTATTTCTTTTATTCTACATTAACTAACATGAGACCTATGTGTTTATCAAAGATCAAGAGGTTACTGTGACAAACTAAAAGGTGTCATGCCTCACACAGAATAATAAACGATATGCATATGTGCAAAGTGTGTATTTATGCAAGTATATATGTCTGCAGCAACTGTGTTGGGCAGTACCGGAGTTCGAGCAGGGGTCAGACACTGCGGCCACGACCCCATTGTGGGGGGCAAATCCAGTGCTAAGCTGGGATATAAAGTGAAATGCCCTGAGCTCGGCACATGTGTAGGGACAGAGTACCAGCACTACGCCCACAGGACACACTCTCATTCACTAATTTGGTCAGGCAGTGCTGTGATGTTCGCTCATTCTCAAAGTTCACAAGAAGTGAAGATATTGATGGTGCTGGAGCATGTGGAACAAAATCAACATCTCAGCTGTAATTACCTGATAAACCTTTACACACGATGAGTTGTTCCTATGCACAAATGCCTCATGTCTGAGTCATGAGTGTGGCGCTTTGATATATTTATGAAGTGCCTTCTGCTGTTTTTTGAAGTCCTCATTTGCACATGTGATGCCAGTTAATGAACAGGATTCCTTTCATCGTGAGAGGCAGGTGCTGCAGTGACATCGAGCGCTTCATTTACCACAGAGCAAATCTAATTAAAAGATTTTTGTTTTACAGATTTCAAGCAACCTAACATATACAGGTTTGGGGAAAAACACTGAGTTAGTTTAGATAGATGTCTGTTGTTAGAGTTACAAGTCAGAACATGAGAAGTGATAAAGATGAAAATCAAAGTGCACTTTAAAGCCCAAAAAAGGAAACACAGGCCTAAACTTTCAATTTGTAAAACTTTGCCACAACAGCAGTGATGGCAGGGATGAATGAACACAACATGGCTGGGCCCCTGTTGTGGGTACCATTGTATGATGACTTTAACAGCCGCACTTCGTGCTGTGAACAGCTCTGCCCTGTGGCGGGCTCAGTGCCAGTGTTGTGTGCCGATCTGTCCCTGACCGTAGGGTCTGATTGCCCCCAGTATTATTTGGCCTTGAATATGCTGCACACTATTAATAAAATGTATTTTGACAACATGTATCACAGAAAGCTTATATTCATGTTCATACATCAACCGCAAATGTATTTTGTGTGTTTTTGGTCTGCTCTATTTTTTTCTTTTTACAGTGTTTTAGCCAGTTTTAGCGTAAAAGTGCTTTCAATGTATTTGCAAAACAGTCCAATTGTGCCTTTGTGGGATTTCCCCATTTACACCATTAACTTTTATATAATGGGAGTTCCTGTCAGCTAATGCACAAATCAGGAGGTTCAGTGTAGACCAGAGGTCTTCAGTTTCAGCTTTTTTGCCACTTCTAAAAGTAGCATCGTATTCACTGCCAATGCGTGTAGCCACCCACTCCACCCACAAAGTCTCTGGGTCAGCACTTCTGCCATATGTACAGAGAACTGCAGGGGAGCTGCAGGCAGCTCTGCAGCAGCAGGAGTACACACATGCGCAAATGCACTGTAACATTATTTTGTAGCCTATACTACAGACTCTGTCCACTAGTTGCATTGGGCTGCAAACATTTACACACAACTGTGTGTGAAAATAAGATATATAAAATATATTTTTTCATTTTTGTCTTGATATGTAAATATCATCTAGTTAATTTTTGGGAAACAGCAGAGAGTGTTTCAGCGCATGTACAGTAGAGGTATGTAAAAAAAATAGCTTTTGAGAAAGTCCTACCTCAGTGTGCAAAGTCACGTCTACATGCATCAGCATTATGAGTCTGTGCATGTCATGCAATCTTAAGCTGACGGGACTGTATTTGATATTGACCTTGTTTACGTGGGCACCGCTTTGCCTGTTAGGGTTTAATCATATTCAGCATATTGGATTTACATGCTAGCTATTCTGGTTACTGATCACTGCATGTTTTTTGGGTTAGCATCTGTGATGGTTATGAGAAGTCTATTCTTAATTCCAGTAAATATCATCTTAAATTAATTTGATGTAGCTATTATAAATTTGGCCACAGTGGCTTGTAGTCGGCTCAAGACGTGTTGCAGATTTATCCCAACCAATGAGACCTCAATGAGCGGAAAGAGTGATGGGAACTGTTAAAAATGTCACCGCTGTTTTTCCTCCTCCAGAGTAACGAGATGCTCGAGCTGCAACGGAGCAGAATGAGGGAGGAGATCAAAGAGTACAAGTTCAGAGAGACCCGGCTGCTTCAGGACTACACAGAGCTGGAGGAGGAGAACATCACACTTCAGAAACTGGTGTCCACACTCAAGCAGAACCAGGTTGGTACGAAGATCAACAGTTTGCACACTAATAGCTTCTTATTTATGTGTCATTGTCGTGTAGAGTTTCACTCTCTAAATGTATTTCTCAGATTTAAGCGTGTCAGTGAAATTGCCTATTAAAGATCTGTCATCACTTTCAGTGATGCATCAGCAATCGGTGGCTCAATTGATTTTAATGACTCACACTCGTGTCACCAAAATGTACCAGTACTCGCAGTGATCTCACAGTGTTTCCTGCACAGTAACACAAAGTCGTATTAGTTTAAACTAGCTCTAGACACGTGGTTAGATGAAGTCGAATAGAGATCTTAACGGTTATATTAATTTCTAAAGGATTTGTTTTTTACCAGCTGTTTACAAATGTGTTAAAATAATTCTTTTCCTGTTACCACGTGGCCTTTCTGTGTCCCTCAGGTGGAGTACGAGGGACTGAAACATGAAATTAAGGTGCTGGAGGAGGAGACTGTCCTTCTGAACAGCCAGCTGGAAGACGCTTTGCGCTTAAAGGAAATCTCTGAGGGTCAGTTAGAAGAAGCCCTGGATGCCCTCAAGACTGAGCGCGAGCAGAAGAACAATCTGAGGAAAGAACTAGCCCATCACATCAGCCTGGGTGACAGCGTCTACGGCGCAGGGGCTCATCTGGCGCTAACTGTCACCGGAGTTGAAGGCCTGAAGTTCCCCGAGGAGAGCAACGGCACTAATGGCAGCACCATCCCTGCTGCTAATGGCAACAATGAGGACAACAACCGCTGCAACGGTCACTTTCACGCTGGCTCTGGGATGGCTAAGATGAACGGGGACTACAGACCCGGCCGAAAGGGAGATGGCCTTCACCCCGTGCCAGATCTGTTCAGCGAGCTCAACTTGTCAGAGATGCAGAAGCTTAAACAGCAGCTACTGCAGGTAGGTCATAAGAGAGAGCGCCTTGGAAATTTCACTGAAAGTTTAAAGTCCCACATGAGCCCCGAGCCCAGTTTGAAATCAGAAAATCGTTGGGTCACTGAATCTTTATTTTCAAGGACACTGACGTCACTTGAACGTCACCGAGGGTTTAAATAACAGCGCTGAAGGGGGTTGAAATTAGCTTCAAAGAGCAGATTGCAGGACTACCATATTGATCTCCCTTCCCACAGTATATTTTAGTTTTTAGTGTGAAGACTGATGGAGTCTGAAGGCATTCATTTAAGGTTATTGTCATTTGAACCCTGTACTGACATTAGAGATAGATGAGAAGTGGAGAAAGACTAGAGGAATGACATCACAAATGTTCAGACTCAAATCGAGGCCCTAGCGCTCAGGGCGCCCATCTGGTAAGTGCTTTTTAAGAAGCATGCTAATGCACATTCAGTGTCTGTATCATGCATTATATATTATGTATGCTTTCACGCATGTCATGGAGGGAGTAGCTTTCAGTATGCGAGAATGCAGCTGCAAGACAAAGGCCGAGAAAGGCAACAGATTTATGCCAAAAGTGAAGGAAACTGCTTTGTACACTTTTATTTACACCGCAATTAGTTCCTGCTTAACGCTGTGAAAAGCTGCTACTGTATACAAAGAATGTAAAAATACAAAATATATATAATATAAAATATATAGGTGAACTAGCTTTCACTTAAACCCACTTGAGTACAAAACAGACTCATCGTGGAGGATGGTATATAGAATGTTAAGTGACAGTGAAACCACAGAGAGATCAAACTCGTGCTAAAAGCAAATAAAGTCATTACTGTACATCTTTTATCTAGCTGGGCACCAGCAGGGAGGAGAAAACTAGATTAGTGGTTGCTCTATTCACAGTGTGCCTCTCGCTGTAAACACAATTACTCACTAGCTAATTTTCTCTTTTGAGTTGATCTGTCTGGGAAAGACCATCAGCCTTATAATGTCCAGCTGAAGTCCAGTTTTCGTTGTGTTTCTTCTGGAGTTGTCCAGAGTTTCTTATAGTTCAATCTCAGAACTTGAAAATCAGATTTATTGCTTTAATATAGTTTAACGTGTCGTTCTGGAGGACGTACACAAAAATGACATTGCACTGGAAAGTACAAAAAGAAACAAATTTAATTTTGTATTTCTGTCGTGCAGGTGGAGCGTGAGAAGGCAGCACTGCTCAAGAACCTGCAGGAGTCCCAGACTCAGTTGCAGCACACACAAGGTGCCCTGACTGAACAGAATGAGCGCGTCCATCGTCTCACAGAGCGCGTCAACGCCATGAAACATCTCAATGGAGACAAAGAGCTCGATGATCCAGAAGAGAGTGAGAAACCTAATGGGGGGTCCTCATCCCCAATGGCCAATAGCCATCATGATCTCGATATCCACGGTTTTAAGATTCTTGAGTGTCGGTACAAGGTGGCGGTGACCGAGGTGATCGACCTAAAAGCAGAGCTCAAGGCCCTGAAGGAGAAGTACAATCAGGCGGTGGAGGGACAGGGAGACAGCCATGATGATGACCGGGTCCAGGCACTGACTGAACAGGTTTGTGCAATATTAATCCAGTTTTGCTGAAAGTAAAACTGCAAACGTACTCACTAGGGGTGCAACGATACACAAAATTCACGGTTCGGTTCGATACTTTGGTGTCAGGGTTCGATATTTTTTCGATACAAAAAATGTTCATGCTTTTTTAATTTGTCGTTTATTAAAATTATAAATATATATTTTAACTCAAAAGTACAGTTTTTAAATGTAACGTTGCTGAAACAACAAAGGGATAAAATAATAAATCTATCTGATCGAGAAATCCCTCATCTTTGGAAAAGAGTTTATTACAGAGAAATGTCTCTTTCCAAAATAAAAGCTCTACTATAGCTTCTTCTGGGCTGTATTCTCAGCAGCATATTAAACATATCAGGTCCCCATAAGGAGAATCCTGTGCTAACGGCTGTCTAAATGACTCGGGATGATGTCGGATGTTCCCACTAGTGCTGTCAGCGTAAATCTGAAATGACGTTAACGCCACAACACGGCAAATCTCCGTTAACGAGCTACCGCGGATCGCCCGTGCGTGGGGCTGGACGGCGTCAGCACGTTAACGAGCTAACTGCGCTAACACAGTAGTTCCCACCCATGTAATTGAGCATTGCGTGGCACATCCAACATACTGTTTTACTTTAGTCCATGACGCGCTTACCTTCAGGGTCATACTTCACATGAAAACCAAAATAGTTCCAAAGGCCAGATCTGAATGAGGGTGGGGGAGGTTCAGTTTGCCATGTTGCAACGAGCTTAGCTTTGTTGCAACGAGCTTAGCTTCTGTCTTGCTAGCTTGCGCTGTGCTCAGTGAATCTGCGCTCGACAGTGCAGCCTAGGCGGAGTAGTCGAAAGCAGATCCTCTGAGCTCTCAACACAGACAGCATCGTCAGAAGAAAAGAAATAAATTAAAAATGTTGTATTGTTCGATACATATGCGTACCGAACCGAAAGCTCTGTATCGAACAGTTCAATATCGATGTGAGTATCGTTGCACCCCTAGTACTCACCGTTTGTTTGTTTGTTTGTTTGTTTGTTTGTTTGTTTGTTTGTTTGTTTTCTGAGCAGGTAACACAGTTGGAGCGAAGTTATCGTGAAAGCCGGGAAAGGGTTGTAAGCCTGGAGGCGGAGCTCCGAGCAACTGCGAGTACTGCCTCAGAGAGCCAGGGCATGCTGAACGCTGCCCAGGATGAGCTGGTAACCTTCAGTGAGGAGTTGGCGCAACTCTACCACCACGTCTGTCTGTGCAACAACGAGACACCAAACCGTGTCATGCTGGATTACTACCGCCAGAGCCGAATCACACGCAATGGCAGCCTCAAAGGCTCGGAGGATCCTCGAGCTTTGCTCTCGCCTCGCCTGGCGCGACGTCTTGCGGCAGCATCGGCAGCCTGCTCCTCAGAGTCTCCGCGCAGTTCCACAGACTCCCCATCCAAAGATGCCCAGCATAACGAGACAACAACTCACAACCCAGCAGACTCCTGCCACAGCAGCCCTACCCGCAACTACACCGGCTCCCCGGTCATCGGCATCTCTCCTTGCCCATCTCCGGTACCTTCAGACTCAAGTGGGGACCTGCGGAAGGAGCCGATGAATATCTATAACTTAAACGCCATCATCAGAGACCAGATCAAACACCTGCAGAGGGCTGTTGACCGCTCGCTGCAGCTGTCCAGGCAAAGGGCTGCAGCTAGGGAGTTAGCACCCATGCTTGACAAGGACAAAGAGTCCTGCATGGAAGAAATACTAAAGCTCAAGTCCCTGCTTAGTACTAAGAGAGAGCAAATAGCTACACTCAGGCTGGTGCTCAAGGCCAATAAGCAGGTAAAATCTTTTGTTTGTTGGATTCTGGCACTTATTTCATTTTTTAAAAAAGCCTAAAATGCATTTTCCATTAACATTAAATGATTCAATTCAAATCGCCCATCTTTGCAGACAGCAGAAGTTGCGCTGGCTAATCTGAAGAGCAAGTATGAAAATGAAAAGGCGATGGTGACAGAGACCATGACGAAGCTAAGGAATGAGCTGAAGGCTCTGAAAGAAGATGCAGCCACCTTCTCTTCTCTCAGGGCCATGTTTGCAACGAGGTGAGAAGGGCTCAGGAAATGTGGCACAGCTAAGATGAGAAAGCAAAGTGTTCGGTTAAAACGTAGAATTTGCGTATAAATGTTGACTTGTGGCTACACATAATCCTGCTGTGTGTCTGTTAATCTCCCTGTAGGTGTGATGAATATGTTACACAGCTGGATGAGATGCAGAGGCAGCTAGCGGCAGCAGAGGATGAAAAGAAGACGCTGAACTCCCTCCTCCGAATGGCCATCCAGCAGAAACTGGCCTTGACCCAACGCTTGGAGGATCTGGAGTTTGACCACGAGCAGACTCACCGTACCCGTGGTGCTAAAGTGCCCAAGATAAAAAGCAGCCCACCCAAAGTAAGTCGCAGAGGTGTCCCCACAATTTCTTCCAACCCTACCAGCCTCCACAGCCACTTCATCATCATCACTCACACCCCGAACACCACTGTGACCCTTTGTAATCTTCCCTGTGTAGAGCTAACCTCATGTTTGTTTGTGGCTTTGTGGATATCAGCCGTACCTTCACCTCTGCGTCACTGCAGTTACTCCAGTTTCTCTCTGGAGTTCGAAGTCGTTGGTAGATCCTAAATGCCTAGCCCTACGCTGTTTTTTATCATCATTTCCACACCCAACACCAATTTTCTTCCCAGAAGCCTCTAGATTAGGTGGAATAGGAGAGGTGGTATCACGTGTCTTTAGTTTAGAAATGCATACGGCACCCCGGTGCACTATCATGCAACATCTGTGCCCATGACACATCACAGGGAAGATTCTTTATGAAATACCAGATAACAAATCTGATATTAGATATCTTTTCTTCCATCTAAAATCCTGCTGCCATAAAATATGACATCATTCCCCAATACTAGGAAGTGTTTCAAAATGACAACAAAGCAAAAATGGCTTTATTTTTAATGACTCACAGCCCCTCACTGTGGCAGATTCAATGAATTACAGCTGAGATTTTTCCTTACAATTTATTTACACCATGACTTAAGTTGTCCCAGGTTTTTGACAGGCTCAGACTAGTAGGAAAACCAGTCAAGCATTTTCTCCGTGTATTCCTAACCCCTCTTTGGAAAAGGGAAAGTAAACAAAAGAATTCTTTGCTGCAGCACAATCCTCTTTGCGACGTAACCATTTCTCAACACTAGATGGCGGTGTTTGAGCAAATGTGTTTCCCTTTTGAAACTGCAGTCAATTGCTGTTGGACCTTTTTCTCCCTCCTTTTGACTCCGAATTACAGTCACATATATTATAAATAAGCCAATTTAAACTAAATGTTTTTAAAAAGCAATGTGTAATCTTCTCTGTGTTAAGTGAGCGAGTAAACAAGACCTCAGCAGAACTGGTGTAGTCCAAAAATACAATGCCTATATGCAGCGGGTGAGGTAGAGTAGGATTATATTTTTAGCTTTTGTTTCACTGTACGCGTCCTTGTCTTTTTTTGCCCTTGCAAATCAATATAATATTGTATTGGCAAGTGTGTGTGTGTGTGTGTGTGTGTGTGTGTGTGTGTGTGTGGGTGGGTGCGGGCGTGTGTGTGTGTGTGTAAAAGTGTCCATGTCTCTGTCTCTTTGGGGGTTTTGTGTTTTCTGCTTCCAGCACAGATTGTCTAGCTGTGCAGTGGCCGGTCCTGATGAGACTGGGCAGTCACTTGAGCTATACTCAGTTTGGTTTCCAGTGTGCTATTGATCTATAGTAATGTACTGAGAAAAACTGACCGGGATCAGCCTGGTGCTTCACCCTAAAAGTCACGGTAACAGTAGAATTCAGTGTCTTTGTCTCTGATGAGGTCTTCCCTTGTCTTGTCCACCCTGTTATCTCTGTTCTGTTGTCTAACCCCGAGTGTCACCACTTTGTATATTTGTCTAATTTATCAGTTTCTTGTAGATTGTCAGCAGCCTGCTGCCTCAGTACCGCTACTCTCCCCACAACTAAGGCGAGGGAGAGCCTCCCTAGTACGCAGGTAACAAGCTGTAGAACCTGCTAGCAGTAGACTTACTAATATCTATCTATCTATCTGCATACAATTCTATCAGTAACATGTCACATCTTTGTCATATAAAGTGACTTTTTCACATTTTTAGTTGGATTTGTTTAGTAGCAGCAACACCTGCATCAAGATAACTGAACCTGCATGATCCAAATATTAACCTTTACATTAAGTATTATGCAAACCCTTGTATTCTGGAATTAATAGTTCACACTATGAATTATTTGTCACTCTGCATGAGCAGTTTTGCATGACCATTTTGTATCTATACATGCTTTTCTGACAAGGCGAGGTTTTCACTGGAAGGAGGGTCTGTTAACGTATGCTCTGCACAATGCTATGTTGCTAGCAGGCCAATGAAGAGCTGATCCAGTGATGAATATGAGGGTCTTCTTTTTTCAGTTAGGCTCTACTGCTGATGTTGTTATTACCTCACGTTATAACCCTGTTTTGATTTCTCGATGTCACCGTGCACCATGTTGTTTCTGGCCTGGTTTAAATAGTTGACTTTCTAAAAGTGCACATATTTCCTTTGTTCCTAAACTTAAACAATAAGACTGACACCACTCTGTCTGTGCACCACAAATGAAGCTGTCACTATCAGTTAGTTAGCACTAGTTAGAATAGCTTGACATAAAACCTGGAAACAATAGCTGGCCTGGCCACGGCCAAAGAAAAAGAACGACATTAGCAAATGAATTTGTTTAATAGATACAATAAAGGAGTTTAAGTATGCAAACTGTAAAGTTCAGATGTAACCTGTACTACTACTTTTTCTAGCTTTTGATAGAGCTGAATAGCTGTTTCCAGTATTTATGCTAAGCTAAGCTAACATGCTGCAGTGGGTATCAGATGTAAGTGGTATCGGTATTAATCCACATCTAAGCATGTTTTTTTCTTCATGCTTACATGTGGAAGGAAACCGTCTCATGCTCCATTTTTGCATTTTATATTTGGAATAACCTTTTTCACACTATTCTCTTCTCATGTGTCTTTGCCTCCTTTCAGTCCTAAATTTCTGGCAGACCACCAGGAACACCGAGCAGTCCTGTCCAGCAGCAGAAGCCTTCTCTCCCCTTGCGACCCTCGTAACTGTCTGGCCCAGCAGCCCCATCCTCCTGGCACCTAACCACGCTGGTCCTGCTCAGACCTCAGTCTGGAAGCAGTCCTGCAGAGACACAGACACACTGGACGGGGGTTCCCTCAGTTTAGCTCCCCTCCACCAAGCAGTCCAACCGGGTGCTTACTGGGCTCTGTGATCTCACTGAGCACTACACTGCCCAGCTGTGGCCGGCCTCCTGGTTACCTGGGTCGTAGAAGAGGAGCAGGACGCTTCCTTCATCTCTGGAAGTGACCTACTGTCCTGGAAACACAAAACAGAGACCTGACCTGAGGCAGAAATGCCAGTGACAACACACTGAAATCTGCCGCCCTGTTTCTCCTAGTATTTATTTATAATTTATTCACTCTGCCAATTATTTATTTCTGATATATTTATTACTTGTATATTTTTGTGTGTTTTCCTTTTTTGTCATTCTGCGAGATGGAGCTTCCTGCTGTGATGAAGACTTAAACAGTTTAGCACATTCACTACTGTATATGTATATTTGTTTCCCCAAAAAATGAAAACGAACAAAAGCAGAACGTCTTCTTTTGAAAAACTTAAGGAAATTGAAATATTAGATTTTACCAGCATAATAATCCCCAAAAACTCACATATATCATTTTTACAAAGGGGTGTTAGCAAATATGGTTTTTGTAAACAGGCTAATGAAGGTCTAGATTCAAAGAATAAGAATATTTTTCATTTTGTTGTTGTTTTTATGATGGCGAATTTAATTGTGTTTTGAATCATCAGTAGTCTGGATGCTTGTGGACTATTTTATAACTCCTTTTGCTTTGATTTTTGTAATGATTTGCAGCAGACTCTGGTGATGTGTTGTTTGTCTGTTACATAGCTCAGGTCTCTCAGAGACCGGGGTAGGTGAGTGGTTGGGTGTTTGAGATCAAGACTAGGGCTGTTGGGCTGAGGTTTTTATTTTGCTCTTTGAATTGCACAGGTTTAAGTGACCGTGGAGTGAACTGACCTCCTTTTTTAACATTAGCTAAGGACAGAGGATTCCCCAAAGGTGTGCCTCCTCTTAAGTAACTGTCACCTTCATCATTGTAATCTCACCATTTTCTTCAGAAAACTTTTATTATTCACATTAATACCCCTAATTATGACATTAAGAAAAATGTTAATCATGCTGACATTTTCCATATCCGAGCTTACGCTGTTCTCAAAACATCACCTTGTTCAGCTTTCTCTACATGCTTACTCCATACAGTATGGAGTACTGTTCAAGCACAATTCTGCACTATGCATTAGAGCAATACAGTTGCCCCTGTTTCAGACTGATCTGGGTAAGATTTACCAAATCTTTTAACCATTTCCGTCATCATGAACTAACCAGCAGGATGAGAATGATAAAACAGCAGGAGGAGTGTTGCCGATTTTGATGAAGGAGCACTATTGTCAATTTTCTGTGTAAAAATTGAGACATTGTTGCTTTTGAAACACTGAGATGGGCAGTTTGTGGAGTTTGTTGCATAATTGAAGTCCCATATTTCTGTACCGTACTTGTCTGGTACACTCATAATGTCTCTGATGTTAGATACAGTTGTTTGTCACATGGATATGGAAGGGATAAATTAAAACTACATAGTCAGTATTAATCTTGTAATGACAGAACTTCTGTTACAACAGTAACAACTGAGTGGATGCTGTGTGTGTGTGTGTGTGTGTGTGTGTGTGTGTGTGTGTGTGTGTGTGTGTGTGTGTGTGTACATTTGTTTGATTTATCATTGTTAGATTGTTACTTTTGCAACTATAGAGCGTTGAAAACATTTGTGGTCCAAAAGTAGCTTCTGCACTCATGCAGGCTCATCGGTGACCTAACTCTCTTGGTTTGTTTGCACAACATAGCTATGGATGGAGAGAGACTAATCTAAAAATGGAAAAATATAACATGGTTAAAAAGGAATGCTAGCAGTATGCTGTACTGCGGTGGGTTTTAAAGTTTCTCCACCACTTAAAACGGTGTTCAATTGGCTTCACAACTAAATAAAAGATGCCCTTGGATTTGTATGACTTTTCTTCTGCGTCTGTTTCTCTGCCTTGCCATTTTTAATGAGCTACACAAAACTAGACTCCACGAAACTTCCTGTAATGATGGTGCCTGTATTCCTGTGCTCCTACAGACAACACAGAATAGGATAAAATGCTAAATTATACTATAGGACAAAATCAGTGTGAGCCAGTGTCATGCCTAAAAGGGTGACAAATATTTCCTAGAGTCCAATGCAGTATGCGGTCTGCCGTTTAGTAAGTGCCACTGGTAATATTGCATATTATTATAAAAAATAATATATAAAAGGTAACAGCTAAAAAATGCATTATTAGTTTATTATTATTATTATTGTAAATATCAATAAAGTTAGCTTTAGCTTGACATTAAAGTGATATGCAATCACGAAATTAGGAAAATGAATGGCCTATTCTGCGTAATGGGCACTTTCCCCTTTTTTATTTTAGTTCTGTATGATTAGCCCATTTTACACTGTGTTGCTATTTAAAGGATCTAAAATGACCGTACATATACACACACAACACTGCTCTGTTTTGTGTGTGTGAGGGAATAAAAACCGCACAAGTCGCTGTAAGGTGGTTTAAAAAAAAAACAGGCTTCTGCTCCGCTGACTGGAGAGGCGGGTGCGGCTCGGGAAGCACCCAATCAAGGTGCCATTGGAGGGAACTCACTGAATCAAACCGAAAGTCTTTCACATAGGTTTTCTATATTTATGAATATTATTATTACGTCTGTTTACCGAAATCCAGCGCGTCTTCAGTGCTGCTGACTGACCCGGGCAAACAGTTGTAAGTGGCGCTGCGAAGCTGGACGTGGTTGTGAACTTGCAGCGAGGAGGGGATCGCGTTGCTCAACATTTTCGTGGTTATTCTTGAAGATTGAAATTCCTGTCACTTAAGTATCCGAATGCTTGAGCGGTCAGAGTCTCGGGGGGAAATGGAGAGCTTTAACAGAGTGGCTTTTCGCAGGAAACCGAGAAGTCTGGACGCCACGCAGCGACGAGAAGCAGGTGAGGGTTTGTTTTTTAAATTGTAGGGAACATTTTGATGATTAGATGTAGGCTACAATCCCAAAGCCACTCTGAGAGATTCATTTCTCAACTATTATTTTTATTATTTATTTTGTGCGACTTTTTTATCCAACTTCTTAAATATTTAATATGTCTTCACAGGAACCACTAGAAACATTAAATAGGCTTTCATGTGCAGGTAGGAATGACTCAGTGTTATGACTTTTTTAGTTGTCACATAGCCGTGATGTGTTTTCCTCAGTCCGGTTGGGTAAGCGTGGAATGGCCAGGCCGTGACACTCGGCACACCTCCGTTACAGCCCCGTGTTTACACACCACTGCTGTGCTGGCTGATCAGCAGGTATGAAGGGTTTAAAGGCAAGACCCAACCTGTTGTGTAACCATCTGCAGGCTGGAGGGCATGTTTTTTCTTTTTTTCTTCCAAATAACCACAGTGAACAAAAATTAGTAGGCAGTCATATGACACTGCCTGTACACACACCTCTCAGGTGTTCCTCAGAAGGTTTCTGTGCACTTTGTATCTCAGCTTAACATTTCAAATGCATTAAAAAAATCTTGGGATCTGTGACCAAACAAACTTCCAGATGACTCTTTGCAGAACCCCGACCTGGCACTTGTGACTGAAAGTTTGCTCGCTAATCCAGTTTTACATTTGAAATTACTCTGAAAAAGGATCCAAATGATTATTACAATTATGACTGGGCAAGATCCGCTTAGACATATCGCCTTATCTTGCAGTCCTACTGCATGCTTGTGCAAACATGCAGCTAAGAATACAGTACTCCTAGTTTGATGTGAACTTTGTTCAGTGATTATCACTACATGTATGAAGAGGGAAGGTGGCTTCAGATCATAAAATCTGCCTGTCAGTGGACCGCTCCTGTTACAAGTCCACACCTTTAAGGTCAGGAAGTGAGCTCAGTCCTAAAATACCCAAAAATATTACCAAGCATTGAATCACCTTGTGTTTGCAGTCACTTGTTCATAATCACTACCCCCTTGTATTGCACAATGTCGCCATATACCAAGTTGTCTATGCTTTATGTAAAACTGCTTTTATGATAATAGGCCAAAGGATAATAACAAAATGCAGCACTGAATCTGAGAACTGAGCAACGCAGGCTGCTGATGTGGTTAATGTGAAGTCTTGGCTAATTTCTGGAAGAATTGATTTGATTTGTCATTTTCCATCAGAAGAGGCTTTAGCATCTTACCATGAAAGCCAGCCGTCATTCTCACTGCCAGTTTATTAGCACCAAACAACAAATCTGTCATGCTGGTTCTGTCACAGTAAATTTAACCTGCACATGAACTGTGATCGCTCTCGGGAGTTAAAGCACTGAATCGAACTAATACGTATGACTTAATTGCCCCTGCTGCAGTTGTTTCTTCTGTTCAACTTGATCCAATATGACTCTTAATGATCCAGCATTTTTATTATGCCTGGCTGAGCCTGCATTTCTTTGACTGCGGTTATTTTCTGGCTTTCAGCAGAGACACGGTTTTAAACTTTTAATCATCTGTTACGCTCTACTTCCATTCACTCAGGCCAGACGATTCACTAGCTTTGGTATGAATGTGGATTCTAAGCCATTATTTTATTCTGAAGGACAGACGTTGCAGTCGTTTGTGTCAGTTTTGATCACGTCACTGGGGACAAAAGGTCAGGAAATAAACTATTAGGTCTGCAAGTTTGTTATCCTTTGAACCTGTAACACATTGTTACCATGTCAGCCCTTTTTTGTCGTGTCAGTGTAACGGAGTTGGATTGCACCATGTAAATATCTTTGGATACCATCATAACCTTCAGAATATATCTGTGTATGTGGGCCCATGTCTTAGAAACGTCTCACAACGATCTACACGCACAGTAAAATGAATTCAGTGGAGTCCAAATAGCTTCACAGCACGTCGGTTTATGCTGATGTGAACACAGCCGTATCAGTCTCCAACAAAGGGACTGTTTGTTTTTTGTGTGCTAAGATAGAAGCAGTGGGACTGTATGAATCAGCAGCTGTGTGGCCTGCTAGCCTGCTGTTGCCGGTATTGTTTTTGCTGCACTGATGGCCATTCATGCTGAGCTGAACTGTCTTACTGTCCTCCGCTGGCTTTAACTCTCTTCAGCAATGGTTCTCTTGTACAGTTGAGTTCACGGTGGCTCAACAGTGATTAGTTTTTTCTATGACATGCTTTGCTGAACCACATAAGTAAACACTGCTCATAAATCATATGTGTGGTTATGGAGAAGCATTGCTTCATGTGTTATTGCTATTTGAATGATGAAAGCGGCCAGTTGCAGCCCCCCACCACACCCACTTCTGTGGTT